AGTTGCTTCAGTGATGTGTATCGCGAAGTGAGCGGCCCGCTCTTCGTGAGCAGATCGGGTCCAATCATATCTCCGGAATGGATGGGGAACCGTCAACCACAAACCCGATTCGTCAGTTTTACGCTTTTCCAGGTGACCGTTGATCCATCGGTAATCCCAAGATCTCTCGGTAGCCCGACGTCTGTCGTGCTTAGTGAGATGATCCAATGGTAAACCAGCCAATTTAGCTAACAGAATTTTATCTGTCCAGACCTCCGCTCGTCGGTATTTTTTATCATATTCAGGGTCGTCCGTTCGGGCAGCCTCGAATCCAACCTCGGAAGGGAGTTTGTCTGTTCTACACAGAGGGCATTTTCATTCCTTACTACTCGTTCGCTAGCGAACGCAGGCACCGTGCGCACGATTGACACACGTGGCACAATCCACCCAATCAACGAATCCGGTCTCAAAAGGGTGATAGTCTACCCCGTAAACCCGTGTAATACACGTATAAAAATAGCAGAATTTTTCAGGAAGGGTGGCGAAGAAGGGGGAGGAGGTGAGAGGGGCGGAATCAGCAGGGGGAGAAGGGGTCGCAGAGACAGGTGGGGTAGTCATGATGAGAGGAGAGGAGAGAGAGAGAGAGAGAGAGAAAGAGAGAGCACGGTTGCAGAGAGGGTAACGCAAAGGCCCCGTGTCACTCATTCCTTCGACAGGATTTCCACTTGCCCGTACCACGGTCTGTTCTCATCCTTCGGCTCGTTCCACGGAATCACCTCCTCGCTCTTGGGGACCTTCTCRGGTCGGTGCAGTCATGTCAACCCGTCAACATTCCCGTGCCTCTCGTGCTTCCGATGACGAATGTCAAAGTCCATGCTATGCAGCACCATCGCCCATCTCGCGATCATGCCCGAGTAATCCTTAGATTTCTTCAAGGCTCATAATGGCTCAKGATCGGTCACCAGCGTGAACTTCCGCCCATACAGATAGGCTCGAAAGTGACTGATTCCCYATARAGCCACATAGCACTCTCCTGTCGGGGCGGCRTAATTGCGCTTGCAGGCAGGCACCGACTTAGACGCGTATTCCACCACGTATTCAATCCCGCTCKKTCCCGAAATTGCCTCCGACTGCCAGTCCGTGATGAGGACAAAAGGTTTTTCGGGATCCGGCCTTATAAGGACCGGAGCCGAAATAAGAGCTGCGTTGAGTTTCGAAAACGCTTGATCATACTCCGRCGTCCAAATCAACGGTTGATCCCGTTTTAGTAGATTCATGAGGGGACCCGCAATCGCCGCGAAACCCTTGATAAACATTCGGTAGTGCGAGTTGAGGCCCAGAAACGCGCGAACTTGCGTGATAGTCGTGGGCACAGGCGCGCCTCTCACAGCTGCCACCTTTTGAGTTCCGGTCGGAGTCCCTGGTCTGTCACCACGTGTCCCAGGAAGGAAATGGTGGTGAGAAAGAACTGGCATTTCTCAAGCGCCACCTTGAAACCGGCATCCCTCAATGCATGCAGGGTCCATTCGATGTGCTGCACATGCCCCTCGTAAGAACTCGAGTACACCAGAATATCATCCATGCAGGGTCCATTCGATGTGCTGCAAAAGCCATGTTCATGTCTCGTTGAAAGGTTGCTGGAGCATTGCTGATGCCCATTGGACATCGAATCCATTGCCAAGTACCTTCGAATAACACAAACACCGTTTTCGGACGATCCTCCTCTCGACCAAGAAGATGATGAAACCCATGACGAACATCAAACTTGCTGAAAAACACTCCTAATCGCATCCAACAACTCATCAATCCGGGGGAGGGGGTACACATCTTTGATTGTGATATCGTTCAGCTTCCGTTAATCGATACATATGCGAATCCCTCCGGTCTTTTTGGGCACGATTACCACAGGAAACGACCAAGGTCTTTTTGCTGCCACCGCCACCGTCGAGAGCGGCGCAGCGTCGAATGGTCCACCATGCTCACGGAACCGCCCACCCGGATCCATCACACGCACCTGCAGATGCTCGACATTCTGCTTCCGTGCCTCATTTCGGGGAACAGGTGGATCATGGGGTGCCTGCCGAGGAGGTCCCCGCTCCGGTGTCCGATTCATCGCCGACCCCTGTTCCAACAACCACGGGCGGTGGTCGGTCTGCCCCACAGCCTCCACCCGTGTTGACCGGAACGTTAGACCCTTTGCAGCGCATTCGTGACCTTGCAGTCGCCCAGAGCGCGACACCTGTGAGCCCTGGCGGGTTGCTGGATGCTGGGGTCCTCGGCGGGAGAGCTACGACGGGACGATGTCGGGGCACTTACAGGCAGCAAGCTGTCACGTCATATTATTCGGACCCTTTGGAGCGCGCATGGCATCTGCAAATCATGCGGTTCATCTTCGAGAGCGGGATGCCGTTCAATAGCATGAAGCTTGAAAGCTTCAAACGCATGTTTACGATGATAATCCCGCCGGGGGTTCCAGGGGCGCCCGCGCCTAGACTTCCCTCGTACCACATGCTGCGCACGACCCTTTTGGACGAGTTGGATGGTGAGGTCCAGAAGTGTGTTCGGTCGGTGCTTGACACGTCAAGAGAGACTGGTTGCACAATCATGACCGATGGTTGGACCAACATCCGTGGTCAGACGTTGTGCAACTACCTTGTTGGTACAGAGATCGGGGTGGTGTATGTGTCCACCGACGTCATGCGTGGCAAAAAGGACGCCAGTGCCCTC